ATATCTGAAGACTGTGATAGTGTGGAATATAGTTCCTCAATCTCATTTCCTGTCAGCATGTTACATCCTTTTTTACTCAAAATAGACTGAATCAGAAAAACAACAGTCTAAATTGCTGACTGAGCAACTTTTCTTCCTCCAAACCTAGCTTTAACTTTGCTGACTAGCTAATAAACAGTTCCAAGATCAGTGCCATACTTAAGGACGGCACAATCATTTTGAGCCAGAATTGTTTTTATTTCTAGCAGGGAGGGATTCCATTCATAAATTATTGTTTATTTCAGTTTTCCAACAACAAAAACAATGGTTTCATCATAAAAATATCTAATTCAAAGCATAATCATTTTTGATTTATTGGAATACGGGATGGCTTCTAGTTCATCACCAGACATGTGGCCTGAAATTTAAGAGTGGATGTACTTTTACAATTTTGTCATGTTTTTCATCAATATTGATACTTTGAGATATATTCTTACTTTAAGGGTGTATAGTTTTAGTTACATTATCAGGAGAAGGTCTGAATAAATGATTATGTATGCTTTGGACGGGATGGATTTGTAATTTCGAAAATGATTCCTCCCCTCCTCACCAATGTCATTTGCATACAGTCCCTTACCTCACTTCTTTACAGGTTGCACAACAGAAAAATGCCATATTTATTTGTATCCGCTTGAACTAGAATGGCTTTTCAGCTGCTAAATATCCCCCCCCCCCCACCTCTCTGCCCCCCCCCTGCAGGCAGGTGCTGGTGGTGCTCTCTCAGCTAGAAGGAAACGCCGGCTTCTCTATCACACACCGCCTGGCTCACCGTAAAGCAGCCCAGGCCTCTCTGGGGGACTGGACCCCCACCAAGGCCACCCACAGCCCCCAACTCACCCCGGACATCGACGGTCTGCACCGCCCCCGGCCGCTATGACCACCGCCCTCCGTCTCACACACACACTCAAACTCTTACCCGATGAACTGTCAGACCACTGGAAACCCAGGCGGGGGGGGGCGGGGGTCGTGTGCAGCCCTGAATGGTGGAGAAAGATGTGTATTTGTGTGTCCCTTTGGGTGAACACACACCTTGAATGTAAATGGGCAGCGTTTGTGTGTCCTTCTAAGGCTCCATAAATGCTTTCATCCGCAATCTCTCCCTCGCCATAGGGGACGTGCCATGTCAGGATGAAATGAGGGAAGCGGGGGGCCACGTGAAGTGACCCCGGACTTACTTAAGGAACTATTTTTCACCCGGGGGCACCTAACGGGATCCAGTTCAGACTACTTAACATTCTGGTACGAGCGCTGTACGTGGAAGGGATGTCCTATATCCTTCACAGGAGTCAGGGTGGAGTGCCGCAACTACTGAGCCATTTTCCGGCCCACAAACTATGAGCCAATCACCCGCAGCGATCAGACACTAACCCCCATGTCGTCTACGAGGACAGCTAACTAAGCCGGAGACTTCAGGGGGGTGTTTATCTCGCCCCGGCCCTCCCTACGGTACTTAATGAGCCAAATCCATATTCATGTTTTTTTAATCAAGATAATACACGTCGGTCTTACTTGTTTTATACAACGCCCTTGTTGCTGTCTTGTCCATATTTGTGTTTTTTGAGGTCGTAGAAAAAAAAGCCATCAGTACTGTCTGTCCTCATCGTCATCGGAGTGCTGTCTCGCAATCCCCGAGCTCAGGACCAAACACAGCTGGAGTCAAGCTAAACCTCGAGATGATAGCTGGAGAAGCATCTCTTATTGTAAGCTCTGGTTTAGATGGGTTTTTATCTTGTGAAATACTCACGCATTTTAGATTCCCTTACTTGTGTTTTGCGTTTTCCCTACAGAATACAGCCACTGTAACTCCCTTCTTTCCCTTCTTCATCTCCTCTCAGCCTCAGTTTTGGGGTGCAAAACGCTGTAGGCGAGTCATTTAATGACCAGCTTTGTAGATCACCCCTCGGGCCTGCTGGCTTCTCTCATCCAGTTCAGCCGTCGCTTTACAAAAATCCCACCCTCTACAGAAGTTGTATGAATGAAATGATGCTGCTTCTTGCACTCTTAGATTGTGAACCCCTAAAATATGTGTCTCGATACAAGGGATTTAACGATATATCGCGATATATTTTTTTTATAAAACCTTTATTCAACCAGATGGTCCCATTGATATTATCGATCTCTTTTTCAAGGGAGACCTGTCCAACATGGCAGCAAGTACGTTAAAAAAAAAACAACAGATAACACAAAAGGACATGGTATTTACAGGGCTACATACATACCTAGAGACATTGACAAGTACCAACGTAACATATTATATATCTCGCCCTGGTCAATAAGCCTCAAAACTATTATTTTTGAAGTGGTGGAGAGACAATGCACAGTTTTACCCACTGCTGTCACCCATGGCCAAAGCATATCTCTCTGTCCCAGCAACATCAGTACCAAGCAAGAGAGTTTTTTCCACAGCAGGGGATATCGTAAACGCCCAAACATCCCAGCTTCTACCTGGAAATGTGGACATGCTCATATTCCTAAAAGATAACCTTGATGATGCTGAGTGAGTGAGTTAGTGAGTTAGAGTTGAGTTACTTGAAAAACTGAAGTGAAACTTGATTTATTCTATTGCAGGGTCTGATTATTATATTGTTGACACTTTAAAATACTATTATCCTACTAAAATGCTGTACAAATCAGATTTATTATTTAATAAAAAAAAAAAAAAATTCACATATTTTTTCTTTATTTTTCAATAACCCGATAAATATCGTACCGTGGACTTTTTATCGCGATATTATCGTACCGTGAGTTTTTGGCATCGTTACATCCCTACTCGATACTGAAGGTCAGCTGTCTGTTTCTCCCAGTCTCTCGGTGTACTCTTTAGTGTGCTGAGGGAGTAGCAGAGCCGCTGTTTGAACAGTCACTTTGCCACAGAAGAGCTCTTTCGTCGAGCTGCACAGTTTACTTTGGGAGGTCAGGGACCATTTTTGTTTGCTTGTGTGCAGCACGAACATCTGGGCCGTCCTCCCACTAGAATACTCCCGACCGCACATAAACGACAAGTGGAGTCCTCGTTTAATAACAAATTAACATTTTAGTCAGACTGCATGCACGTAACAAGAGAGAGAAGAGACCCCTGAGACCCTGACACAGAAAATAAGTGGAGTTCATGCTGCAAAGGACGGACTGCCTACAGCTGTTTTTACGAAGTCCCTCTTTCCATTCCTCCATTGTCAAAGCCATTACTCCTGCTTCACTAAGGATCATTCAGTCCTCACCATGGCAACATAGATGTTTCATTCATCCGAGAGAGGGAAAGGTGAATGCGGTACTACAGTAACGGGATGGAGTGTGACTCTTTTCTAAGTCAAAGTTGATGTCTTATTATTGTGTGGGGATAAACTTGAAAGCTGAAATTGCTCGAGCAATGGTAGGGGGAAAAAAGCTTCTTTATTATGTCAAGATCATAGTTCCCACATGAAATGATTTTAAGTTAAGGACTTAAAATCAGCTACCTTGAGTTGAAAAAGTGCCGAATCGTGCATCATCTCATGAGAATTGTCTTTGTCTTTCCTTATGGTTTACAGTAAACGGCAGCACTGTGTCCCGTATGCTTGCAGTCTTACTTACTACGCACAAACACGACTTGCAGGCTGTCATCCTCATATGAAAACTACTCCAGCAGTGTGGCGTTTCTTTGCTGAAACCCGAAGCTGAAGTAACTGTAAATATGTTTTCCAAAGAAACATACCGTGTAATAATGACCACTCTCAGATGTCTGTGTGGTCGCAGCACAGCAGCTGTGAACTTTAATTTATTTGTATAAGTGATTTGCAGGCCTGTTGTCAAAAATGATCATTGCTGAATACTGGTATGACGGATAAAGGAATGTGATAATGTAACGGCGTTACATTGAGCCCAGAGGGATTGACCAGAAAATGAACCTGCACTGAAACACCTGCAATGACGAGGCACCTCAAAACATTCAGTGTCCCCGCTGGATCACTTTACATTTACATGAGATTTTGTTTTATACAACGTTTTATTTGTCATAATTGTCATCTTGGCTCTTTGCTGGTGAACCTACTCCTCTTCTGTGAAGTTGTGGTGCTGATTCTTCTGTGCGTCAGGGGCGCCCCCTGCTGCCGGAGAGGAAAACACAACGCCTTGTTTCTTCCCATTCGTCTGCTTCCCTCCGTGTAAATTGTACAGAATGCAGACTTTAAGCCACGTAAAAGATAGAAAATGGAGAGGAGGGATACATCAGACCCTTTTAAACTTGTATGATAGTAGAAACAACTAAGAAATTCAACCTAACGCTGAAAAAAAAAGAACTCTAATGAATGTGATATATATTTTATTGATCTTTTTCTGGGAGGGGAATACGAGAATATGTGTACAAACAATGTATGTTTAATTTTTAATCTCAGGTTCCGGCGGACCAAATAAATTTTTTAAATTAAGAAAAGGTGTCATTATTATAAATTAACTCATTAACTCTACATTAATAACATTTACTCTGTGTTGTGAGCTTTTTGCTTTGAAATCAGTTGCTTTTCTAATCAGGCTTTAGAAGAAAAATAGGAAGCCTTTAAACTAGAATAACAGCTCGATAAAAAGCTAATGTATTAACATATAAAACCGTTTTGTCCACTTGTTTCCTGCACTTTGATTGATTCTGATGTGTTTGTTATCGTTGGTTCCTCATTGCTCTCCATTTCCTGCCCTGTGATGTTCTTCCTCTCATCCCAGCATGTTTATTTTTCAGATGTCTGGTGTATCTTGTTTATGTGTCCGCTCCAGTCTCCACCTCTTCTCCTAATCCTCCTCCCGCCCCACCCTTCTTGCTCTAAGAATGTCCCGCTTCCTATTCCTCTCTTCTTTGGTTCCCATCTTCCTCCAAGGCAAATTCCCCTGCTGGACTCATCCCCAACCCAC